AGGTATATGGACAATTTAGCCTACCCAATTCACCTATACCACCTGTCTTTGGACTTGTGGGGGAAACCTGCAAGGGAGAACAGCAAACTTCACACTTCACACACACTAAGGGCCTACTTACACTATGCCATCCGTACCGTGCCCAGGCCCGTTTCCCGGATCATTTGAGAAGTGTGAGTGCGCTGAATCGGGCTCAAGCACGTTCACTTGGCCAGCCCTGGCCCGGTTGGAAGAGGTGTGCCTGAGCGCGGTTCACTTGAGCTTTGGCACGGTACGCTTGTGTGTGAGTGCAAAACGCGCCAAAGCCCGAAACTGAGGGACTGTTTCATATGGATTTATTAATCATTCTTACTGTTCAGTGAACGCAAACTCTTAACAATTATGTGGCATTGTATGGGCCAAACACTAGATTATTGCACATATTGTAGCTTAGATTCTATGCAAAATCATACAAAAAATGCATACCTAAAATGTTCATAATCTCTACAAAAAAAAAAATTATAATAAAAAAATAGTCTGATAGTCTAGTGATTTTCTAATATTGTGATTTGTGCAATTGTGTGACTGTTGTGTTTGTGAGAGAGAAAGAATCAAAGTAAAATTTTACATCCAAGCTTTCAAAACATTTTGTTCATGACTTTACTGAAATATTATATAGAATTTTCACTGTCGTGGGTGTTCAGTTTTGCTACAATAATGCTATATGTAATTTATGTACTTATTTACTGTACTTGACAAAGAATGATTTGTTAATTGGTTATTGATTAGGCTACTAAACCTTTCAAGCTCGATTACCGATTACTTTTATTTTTGATCACACAGTTAACAAAAACACATTATTCAAAACTGAATATTTTACTGCCAGTTAATTCCGCTGTGGCAACCCCAGATTAATAAAGGATTTAGGCCGAATAGAAAAAAAGAATGTTACTTTTATTTACATAATTTGATTTAAGAAAGCAGGGGTTCTGTTTTGAAAACCATCGTTAGCCAACTAAGGTCGCAAATCCATCATTCCAATGAACATTTACAAACTGCATTGCAAACTTGGTCCGTTTACCTGCAGCATATGGTTGTGTTCTATTCCTAGTTATCCCCACATGCCCTATTCAATTAATGTTCCAACCTTTAAATTTGAAATCATTAAACAAAATATTGAAGTCATCTCTCTTAGGTGTGATTTGCTTTCAAACTCTTTTTACAGTTTAGTTATAGCTTCATACTGACAATTGCGTTCCCTTCGTAGTGCACTTTGAAAACATTTATGCCATTTTAAACACAGCCATGGCTCATGAGTCATGATGAAAGCTATAGGTGACCTATTATTTAAAAGTGAAATTTACATTATCTCCAAAGTTTACGAAAACAAAAATTTTATAGCAAATAATATATATATATATATATATATATATATATATATATGTTAATGCTTTTAATTTATTTTTGGTTATTTATTGAGAAATGTATATATGATATGGGCCTGTTGGTTTGAACATTCCTGCAGTGGTTTGAATGTGCCAAATTGTAAAAGTTAAACTTTTCAAAAATAAACAATATCCTAATAATAATAAATAAATAATTATTGTTGTTATTATTAGCCTATTCAGTAGGATTTCATTTCTTTTCTGGCCTACTGTAAATTACAAGCATTAGCCTAAGGATTTTCAGACCTGTGGTGAAAAAACAAGCTGGATAAGTTGGCCGTTCTTTCCACTGTGGCGACCCCGGATTAATAAAGGGACTAAGCTGACAAGAAAATGAATGAATGATATATGTGGTGTGATTTGTCATATATACATATTAAATTATAGTATCCTCCAAAAAAATGTGATTATGTACTATGGATTGGTTTGAAAAGGTTGTTTAAGCATTCATTTCAACGTTAAATCAATTAAATTTTATGTTGAATGTGTAGATTCTACGTTGGTCCAATTGACTGTAAATCAACATCATTTCACCGTTAGACAAACCAATTAGGTTGATTATATGTTGAAAATGTGTGGATACTACAATGTTGTTTCGACTGAAATAAAATCAACATTGATTCAATGTTGGGTAAGTAACCGATTGCGTCGATTTCAGGTTAGATTTGAATGGAGTGCCTGACGTCATTTCAACATTACCCCGATGAGCAAAACGATGTTAAATCAATGTCAGTGATTAACATTGATTCGATATCAGTTATGTAATTAAAATATGTAATTTTGCTATCTGGGTTGCTATCTGGCTATACTATATATATATATATATATATATATATATATATATATATATATATATATATAAATATAAATATAAATATATATATGATGTATCTTCTGTGAAAAAGTGTTATTTCTTTGCATAAAATATCTATCTATCTATCTATCTATCTATCTATCTATCTATCTATCTATCTATATATATATAGACAGATATTTTATGCAAAGAAATAACACTTTTTCACAGAAGATACATCATGAATTAGAAAGTAATGTAACAAAACTTAAATCACAGCATATTATGTACGTTTATCAGATTTGCCAAGCAAGAGTGTTCCATGCAATAATTAAAAGCTATAAAATATTAAATTTATAGTTAAGGCTTTAGTATCAAAGAGTAACTAAAAATACAATTTTACAAAAGTTTGAAAGTCAACGCAAAACCTTCATATTAAGTACACTCCCAAAGCAAATGACTTAATATTTCTTCAGACTGAAAACAGAAAGAGCATTTGGGGAAATAATATTTTTAGATTGAGCACGTTTGTGATTTAGTGGAAAGCAGTTAGAGACTTCACCAACTTCAATATAAAAGAAATTTATGTAAAACTCCTACCATTCTGTCACTTAAATATATTATTCCAAAAGCTCACGCAAACAGGTAAAGATAACTTTAGGGGGCCAGGCTTGACTGAAGGTATACAATCAGGGATTGCACAGATACAATGTTATATTCCTCTAAAGAGACTGAAAGAGAAGACAAATTATCGTCTGTCCACAAAGTTTCCCTCTGTTGTCAAGAGACAGATTGAAACGGGCAGCCAATCAGCTTCCGCCGAGCGCCTACAGGCAGCCAATCAGCTTTCACTGAGCGCTTTCAAAGAGTCAATCAGTTACATACAGGCAGCCAATCCGCTTTCGCTGATCAGCGTGCAGGCAAGTATCCCGCCCATGGCGCGCAGTCTGAGGCGGAGAGTGGAGAGTGCAGAGCTTTGTAGTTTGCTTTTTGATTCCATTTATGTTACTGGTGTTGTTCATCTATTCAAAGTAAGTGTATTATATTTGATCTTGTAGTGTTCGCAGATTTGCTGCAATTATCTTGCGGGTTTAACTGCTTTAACATATGTGCTCAATGCTAATATACTTACTTGTTTTTAGCTCGATGCTACGCTGTAAACTTTAGATAAGTTAGAGGTAAAGTTGGTTTTATATTCGCACATTTGGACTTTCCCTTTAATAATAATAATTTCATAAAAGCATTATTTGCAAACTCTAAATAGCGAAATCATATTAGCAGCCAACGACTATCAAAGTACAACATTGTTCACAGTCAAATAAATATAGTGCTAATGTTGTTTTCAAGTCATCCTTGCATGCTAATCCTTGCATGCTAACCTCAATACAATAGAGTAAAGTTGGTTTTCTATTTGGATATTCAGACATTCTCCTTATTAATATAATTTCAGAAAAGTATTCTTTGCAAATCCTCAATAGTGAATTAGCAGCAAATGACTATCAAAGTACAACTTTGTTTACAGTCTATTAGATAATGTTGTTTTAAAGTTTACTTGCAAGCTAATTCTGAATATTCAAATTGGCATGGTAAACAATACCGAGACAGTTAAATTAACGAATGTGCGAATATAAAACCAACTTTACCTCAATCCAAAACCCAGATAAATGTAAGCAATCAGAGACATGATTACGCTGCACATGAGATGTAGAATCAGCCACTCAAGACTTGCACACATTTATTGAACAGGGGAAAAAAAACTATTATGTAACTTGTGTGAGACTATTTTGATGGTAAAACATATTATAACAGAATGTGTGTATATATATATATATATATATATATATATATATATATATATATATATTTTTTTTTTTAATAATATTAGAGAATGTTTTTATGCAGGAAATATTTTAAGGCAAATGTTTAAAAATGTGTTTTAAGGAGAATTTTTTTTTTTTTATCATTGATCAAACTGCAAGAGCTTTTAAGAATTTATCAGTGTTGTTTTTATTGGTGATTAAAACAAATCTAATGATGTTTCAGAGAGAGTTATGATTGTCAATTACATATTGAATATTTAATACAAGTTTTGCCATAAATATAGCCAGTGCAGCTGATATGGCATTAAAATATTTAAATATATGCAAATAACGTGTAATTACAATAATTGTCTTCTCCAGTGAAGCTCCTCCTCCTCCAGTGAAGTTCCTCCAGTTTAGCAATAAACGCTGGAATATTCCCATCTGGGGTCTGTTCTTTGTACGTGGATTACTCACTTAGCTGGATCCAGGATCAGTTCGTTCTTCAAAACTGATCCGACAGTTGTTGTCATAACAACAAGTTTTTAACAATATAAAAACAAGTTAAAAATATATGTATTAAGTGCAAAGAGAAAACGTATTGATTTGAACTTTTTAGATCGCTTTAGTACAATTTGTGTTCTATAATTGAAATGCTCAATATTTGACTTTTTTTTTTAAAGCAATAATACATTTATGCAGTCATAAACATGTTGGGACAGTTAATATGACTTCATAAAAGTTACAGATGCCTTAACCAATATCGAAATGCTTTTGTAAACATCCTGTTATTCTTTACACTGATTTAAAAAACGGCTACAATAATACTACTATAATAAGGAAAATCCGCTTTAACTGTAAAACTAAATAAATTGCTCTTGACACATGAAAGGGCCAAGCCTGCAGCCCACAACAAGGCTCGATAGATAAGTCCTTCACAACACACGCAGCAATCTCAGATCAGTTCATCCAGAGGTTTTAATCTGATTCACGAACTTATTTAAAGAACCAAATTAGCTAGAGATCAGTTATTAAGATTAACAGATCCAGGATCTGCCAAATCATCTTAGATCATTTAAGTGTGCTACGAAGAACAGACCCCAGGCTCCAGTGAAGAGTTTTTTGAAGGACAGCGAGAACATGAGTGATCCAGAACCATGCAAAATTAAAAATGAGGAGTCTGAACAACAAATAGGTTAGTGTTTATTCCTGATCATGGGGCAGCATGGGGGGTTGTTGGACTTCTGGGGCTTCAGCCCCAAATGTATGTTCCAATGCCATGAATCTTTTGGGTTTAAGTTTTGTCAAAATGCAGTTTTATTGACGCAGCTTCTTCTACCACATTAAATTCTTTTTTTACTGTTGATATTTGGCGTCAGTTAATCATAAAGTGACAATTTTGTTCTTCACTCATTGGATGGAAACGCTGCTTTATTCACATCTTTTATGTGATATTCCAGTTTTGCACATAAATGTATGTAATATATTTGGATGGAAACATGGCTATTGCCTACATTTGAGTTACACAGAACAAAGTCACGTACGAGAATGGCTTATCCTTTTTTAATAAATAATTGGCTTAAATTCACTGACCTTAGACATGTACTGTTACTAGATTAGTGGGATTATTATTCTTTCTAAAAATAATTTTTAGTACTGCTTACCTTCTAAATGTCATATCAACCTCTATCACTTGATCAATAAAAAATAGCAAGCAGACACACAAGTGCACTGTTAAATTTATTAAAACAGATAAAGGTGTATAAAAGTTTTTTTTTTTCAAATTATAAACGTCACACATTACATTACTTATTTTATTATACTTTAAATATTTAAATACTTTAATTGTAAAATTACGCATTAACTTGAGCAGCTGTTTTCCCAGGCTGATTGTTTCACTGATGGTTGCTTTTTTTTTAATATATATACTAGGGATGCACGATATATCGGCAGCCATATCATTATTGGCTGATAAATGCTATTTTTAAGATTATCGTTATAGATCCGATGTCTAAATTAGGCCGATTTCTTTAAGCCAATAAATTACGTAATTGTACAGACCTGCCTGCCGCACACCGGTGATTCTCACAAAAACTGAGTTTAAAAAATTTCAAACATGAGTTTTTAAAAATGTTTAAATTAACATTTTGTTTTTGCAGATAATTGTAACAAAGTCTGGAGCATTTGTCAACATTAATTAAAACACATATAATTGAGTACCATTTTGAGCATAATTTCCAAAATAAGGAATAAAAAAAATCTAATTTCCGCAACAGTCTGCAAAATCCACGATTTGTGGAGGCTTTCATACTTGATACACTCGACGAAGTCAGAAAGTTGCTAAATTAATTAATATAATATTTCAAGTGAATAGGTTGTGGATAAATTTGGAGAAAACTCATGAAAACATTTGCTGAAATTGTTCCCTTGTTAGTATTTCCGCCATCTTCCCAATAAAATCTCGTTATGACATCTCGCATGGTTCAAAGGGATGTCAATAACTGCTAACCTCTCTAACTTACTATAAGTTACAACCCCTTTTTAGTTACGCCATCTGGTAAAAAAAAAAAAAAATTTAACACACAAGTGTTATTTGCTAGTTTCAGCTTGGCGCAATAGTCGTTTTGACATTTTGTGCCATGCTGTTTAAATAGCAAATTCATTTGCGCTCATACAGTGTGTGTGCCCATTGGCAGTCTGATCTAAAAAAGCAGGCGTGTTTTGGCGTGTTTGGTGTTTTGCTATTTTGAAAAACTATAATAGTCTGTTCTTTAGACCAGAACAAAGCCGGTCTATTGTCTGGCGCAGAGTGCGCCTCGCTTACTGCTTAATACACACAAGATGTAGAGCAATACGCAAATATCTTTACATTTGAGAAAGAATTTAAATATTAAGGATATATATGATATAAATATATAGGATATAAATATATAGGATATAAATATAAAGGATTAAAATATAACAAAACATTTTCTAGCCTACATGAATTTAAAACCACTGTCTTCATACTTTCTTCATCTCGGGAGGCTTTTTGAGTTAATTCAATTTGCTTTTGTATGTTATCATTATTAGCAGTATTTATTAAAAACAAGCTTAGATTTGTCAGCCTGTCAGGTATTAGACCATATGGTCAGGGTCCCCGTGGGGTCTTAAAAGTATTAAAGTCTTAAATTAAAAAATCAAAATTTATGGCTTTAAAAAGTCTTAAATTTGCTGTTCTAAGTCTTAAATATTTTTGCACAGGTCTTATTTATGTGATGTCCGTGTAACGCTACATCTAATGTTAATTTAAATTCTTTTTGTTGTTGTTGCTAGGTTTTTGGGGTGTTGTAGTTCTTTATTTCACTATTCCAATTGTAATTTGCGGTATTACAACTACAAAAAAGTCAACTTGCAATAGCCAATCAGCTTTCTGATATTAAACTCAGTGCGCGTGGCGAATGTGATATCATCGCTGTGTTTGTGGAAGTTCGCTTTGAGTGCACGCGACATGATTTCGGCTGGCAGAGTATGCCGTTATTTCACTGACAATTGTCGCAAGCGCAGTTTTATAAGTCGGGAGCGCTGTAATACGAGAGAGCGAATCTTTGCTCATGCGCCGGTTTCCTTTGTTCATGGACAAAACTGTTTGCGAGCTCTCCAAACATTGGCTGCTCACGTGCGATTGACCTGCTCTAGCTCCGTCTGACTTCTTCGTGCTTTTCCAGAGATGCTTCAGCATATATTATTAAGAATAGTGAACTGGTACAATGAAATACAGTGTAGTTTTACTACAGTAAATTGTGCTGAATTGTAGAAAAATAAACCCTATATTGTAAAAAAATAAAATAAAATAAAGCACTGGGTAGTTTGTTTTTAATACACTTGTTGTGTTACCATAGCAACTATAGTAGTACCACAAGAGAGTAATTGAAGTACTTTACTGTACTTTACAAAACACTGTACAGCAGACACTGGTTAACTTTATTTTAGTGATAAAATGAGATTGACAGTGGGATTTATTTGAAAAGTGAATAGTACAGTAGGCTATAATACCTAATCAAGTTTTTACCTATTTTCTATCACAGCTACATTTCTGCTTGCCAGAATGACCAATAATTATTGGCTAGAAATTGCAACAGCCATGGGGAAAGAAGGAAAGTTTTTGTAAAACTTTGGAAAAACTCTGAGGGATAAGTTTGTTAAAACAAAAAAGAGGCCCCCAAAAACATCTTAGATGATAATGATTATCTTTTTATTTGTCTGATTTTACTTTCAGTTTTTTTGGACCGCCCCCTGTCATTCAAAAAAATATCTAATGTTGAAAAAAACACGTAATGTTGAACGTGTCAAGTATAAAAGCCTTAATCCCTTTTGTGAGTTGTGCGATGCGGTGTCAGGTGAAAGTATAAATCTGCATTAAGATGTTTGTTTTTTCTGTAGTTCAATGGTGCATTAAACCTGACTTTTGTACTAATCAATTTAAATAACTTTATTTTACCCCCAATTTTGTGCTTTTACATTTTCTCTCGCGTGTTTTTGATATTGGGATATAGGTCTTAAATTTAATACTTAATGGTCTTAAAAAGGTCTTAAAAGGTCTTAAATTTGACATTATGATATCTGCAGACACTGATGGTGCAGCATGTGTATTTGGATGCAACTCAGTTTTTTTAACACACTTCGTTATTATTGTTCTTTATTAGTTTGCTGAAAATTAGAACTGAATTTATAAATAGTTTTGAACAAATATTTGCGCTTTAAGTAAATTAATTATTTATAGGCTAATTGATGTCTGTGCACAAGGTTTCCCTTTCCATGAGAGCGAAAGTGAAAGTAGATTATGAGATGCTTTATCTCTCATTCTCGCGCTGTAGATGCTCCGTTTAACTGTTTTCTTGCTAGTGACATGCTCAGTTTTTCTACTTTACATCATGTAAATAGCAAATGTGCCATGGCGCGACACAACTGGCTCTTGAATGGGAAACTCTGATTGGTTTATTCTCAAAACACACCTATAACTCGTTAAGAAAATAAACTCAACCCTTTTAGACCATGCGCCACAGTGCAAAGCAGATTTTTCCGTCCTTATATTAGCAAAAGTTGATTCTGACATGCCCTGTGCTTTGCGCTTTGAGCATGGACCGTCAAAATAGAGCACTGTGTGTGCAGATTAAAACTAAATTATTAACTTAAATGAATACATTTCCTAACACTGTAGAGTTATTTTTTAGTAATTACACCCGCTGATCTACATCTCCAAATCTAATCCCTCTCTTTCCTTCCTTCTGTACTCCTCAAGTAGTTCTGGGTTGCTGTACAATTTTTCCCAATATAGCTTTTGCTAAATAATAACTTTTTTCACTTGCCGACTGTCTAAAATGAAACATATCAAAGCAAAATATTAACAGTTAGTACATTTTAAAATTAACATTAAATTCAAAAGAGTAATTTGAACTGGAGTGCAATTAACTTAAATTCTCATTTTCGAAACAGCCGTTCTCTCTACCGCAACTGTCCATAAATGGTTGCGGTATATGAGAAAAGAGTTGTGGAGAATGAGGTGCCTTAACATGTTTTGCTAATTATAGGGAAGCTATGATGATTTAGCAATTTTTTACTCAGTGCCTATAATTAAGACTTTAGAGAAGTTCATTTTCACAATAAAAATGTAAATCTAACAATTATGTAAATGTAGAAAACCTGTTTCGGTAATGATAATCAAAAAGTCATGTAACCATTTTGACAGAAGAAAATTTGATATTTAACTAGAGAAATATAAAATATCTTCTTTTCTGGCAGCCATCTTAAAACAACTGGCCCATGTGGTCCTTCATTCACAATTAAACTTTATTTAAACTCTTTGTGCATTTTTAAACTACTTTAAAATGGTTGCGGAGGATGAGAACATCTGTCATGGACACATTTTTTTTCAGCTTTTTCTTATAATCATTATACATAAAAATTCTGTAAACTATTTGTTCTGTCATGTAAGATAATCTCTTAGAACAATTCATTTGTTTTTATGCTGAAATTTTCATGATAATTTGTAATGTAATGTAATGTGTATTTTATATAGCACATTTATTGTGTATGGCAATACACCCAAAGCGCTTCACAATCATGAGGGGGGTCTCTCCACACCACCACCAGTGTGCAGCATCCACTTGGATGATGCGACGGCTGCCACAGGACAACGGCGCCAGTGCGCTCACC